TCTGATTTTCTTGTTTCTCTCCGTTGCATCATCTCCAGTATTCTCCCTATGTTTCCCATATATCAAATGTTTTGCCAATTTCTACAAACACACAAACATCAAATTCAAGTAAAAAAAAAAAAAAAAAAGTGGTCCAACAAAATAAAGGAACTAAACAAAGGCACACATGAGTGATGCTTAACTACAGAGGAACTAGAAATAAACAAAGGCACCACAGTATCACAAAAGTACATTCTTTCTCACATACACTAACAATTACCACACCTAAGTGCAACGAACAAAAAGGTTTAAATCATTCTTCACATTATACCCATCAAAAAAAGATATACACTTTCAGCTACAATCATTCATCTTAGTGAAGCTCTTTATTACTTTTAGCTTAAGAAACACAATACAATCATTTCAAGTGCCTTAAGCAACGATACAATCATCCATAAATGTAACGACTTTACATCATAACCATCAAAAAGAGTGACACTTTCAGCTACAATCATTCACCTTAATGTAACTTTTCTATACTTAGAATAAGACAATGATGAAAAACATTACAATCAATCTATAAAGGTAACGTCTTTATAAGAAGAATGTAACACAAACAAAAAAAAAGCTCACAGCTTTCGATCTAATAAGAAGTACCTCAAAGACGAATCTATCGAGGAGGAATCGAACGGAAGGAAAGAACACAGCGAAGAGAGGAAGAACACGAAAATCATGGTAAACCGGAGGTGATTCGAGCTCCCAGTTGATTGATTCCACAGATTCTAACAAACCCATCTCTCTTTTAACCGATTTTTTTTAGAGAAAGGAATCAGAAAGTTTCACATAGAGTTGACTTCTTCTTATTCTTCGTGTGACTTTTCTGGGGGGAGACAAAGGGGATCTCCTTTGTTGGATCAGTGGGAGTTTTTAATGCAAGTTGAAGTACTGTTTCTACTACTATTCCAAACTCCTTGTTTGGTTGAATTCTCTATAAAAATGTTTGCTTCTGGATGGTTTTTAAGTCTTCCTCGAACCTTCTGAGTCGCTTGGAGTCTTTTCTACGTCTCAAGCTGGCAATGTGATGATGACTTGTTATTGTTTAGTTGACTTCTATTTGGTCTTTTCACTCTGAGTTTAATTTAAATTTATAAATGGGTAAATGAAAAAAAAACAGGTTTTTTGTTAAAATGAAAAAAAAACTGTTTTTTTTTTGTTAAAATGAAAAAAAAAAACAGTTTTGTGTATTAGTTTGTTCTGTATATTGGTCACAAAAATAATTTTTGATTTTAAATTGTAAGAAAATTATAGTAGAAGTTTTGGAATGAAGTTTATTTATATATATTTATAAGGAAAGTTTTGGAAAACTAACGATTTGTTGATTATTTACATCAAATAATTGCAAATATAATTGTATGATTATTATATGATACAAATAATTGTATGATTATTGCATGGTATCACGGTATGAAAATGATGATTCGTTTTTGGAGGTATGATTATGTTACAGGATATAAAACCGATGAAAATGAAATGAAAAGCTAAGGATGCTGTTAGAATATATAAAAAGAAAAAATGTTAGAATATTTGAATCTCAGTTGATTCGTCTCATTATTGTGTGTCACACACATGCACGTTAGTCGGTGATTATACTACTGTAGTCTTCTCTTCTTTTATTTTTCTATGGGGTTTTTAAAGTAGGAGTAATATAGTAATCCTAGATAAGTCCATGATGTTTCGATACATTCAAAGTTACATTGAAGCAAGAAGAGGTGACGTTTCCAAGGAGACATGAAAGCGCTGACCCCAAGTTGCCAAACTTTGACTTCATTTTCTTTCTCTCTTTCTGCTTCATTATCTTTCATAAAACGCCCATTTCTCTATACAGCATTTATGATTCTATACAGCCGCATCTTTATTTTTTTAACTAATTTATAATAAAGTCAAATATCTCCGTATACTTGATTTAGGCGTTATATATAAAAAACTCTTCATATCTTTCAGAGAAGAAGAGGAAGATAAGAAAGAAATGATGAAGATGAATAGTCAAGTGTTAATCATAATCTTCACTCTAGTTTTGCTTCTAAGCATGGCTTCGAGTGTTATTTCAAGAGAAGATGGTTTTACTCCTCCTAAACCATCTCCCTCATTCACGCATGTAAGTTCTTCATCAATTTACATACACTCATTGCTCTGTTTCTTTTATCTTTCTCTAACGTTGTGTTATATGGCATGAATCACAATATGGCCCCTGAGATCGTCAACTATCATAGTATTCATTTTTTCACTGGGGTATACAATTCTTTGCCGTTAAAAAAAAAGAGTACACTATTCTTTTAGACAAAGGAAATTTTTTTTTGTTTTAGCTATATAGGCAAAAGTTAGAGACTCTACCGGTTTACAGGGCCGGCCCTGAGATTTTGGGAGTCTGTGGCGATTTCTATTTGAAAAAAAATTTTGGGGGTCTAAAAATATTTTTGCATCGAAATATTTTTATTTTATTGCTACGATATCAACATAATACGTAACTTCTATATTTAAAAAAAAAAATATATAATGGTGGTATTGAATTGCATGTCATATAAATATCGGATAATAGGGTAACGAAAATATTCCAGATAAACAAAATTTATGTTGAAGAAAAATGAATAGTATCGAGTGATTCAGCTCACTAGTTTTACTTCTGGTTCTTTTGGGGTCGTTATAGGAGAGTAGGAAAGGCGATGGAGATGGAGTAGAGTGCAAGAGTTCAGACAGTGATGAAGAATGTCTTGTTAAGAAAACCGTAGCTGCTCACACCGATTACATCTATACACAAGACGTGAACATATCTCCTTGAAACAAGAACAATTGCTCTTTTGTTTTTCATTAAGTACAAGCTATAAGCATAAGAAACTCTCCTTGACCATGTGCTATCATGTTCTTTGTTCTTTTATTCTAATCGTCGTTTGATTTCTGTCAAAGTCAATGTATTATTTATCCTACGTTATTTAACTTGTAGGTGTTACTAGGTCAAGTTTAATTGGGCTAGACGACAAACAAAAGGTTTAACTGGGCTGTTTTAAAAATGGGTCTATATATCTTCGTGTCAGGCCCATATATAGGCTTATATTTTTGTGGAAAATACATGCAAAAAATGTTGGAAGGACGAGAAATTATAATATGTATGTGGTATATTGGTAGGTTGCGTATGTGACGAAGTGGTGATTCAATATCTAAAAAAAAATTATTCACAGACTACATCTGTAGTTAATGTATGACCTAATTTCAGTAGTTCAATAAATAAACTATTCATCGAAAAAGAATATTTTGATTGTGTTTGGAAATAATATTATTTATAAGTTCTCTTATTTTTTTTATTGATTTATCTTTATTATTATTCTTTTATAAAATTGGTCTCCAAGTTTTATATACTTTTTTGGCAGAAGCGGAAATAATATTATTTATAAGTTCTCTTTATTTTTTATTGATTTATCTTTCTTATTATTCGTTTAAAAAATTGGTTACCAAGTTTTATATACTTTTTTTGGCAGAAGCACTATCACCAGGACCCTCCACCTCCCTTTGTCTTATTTCATTTCAACAACCATCCACCATTCTTAAACAGTTTGTTTCTCAACAGTTGAGAAAATATCTTATAATATAACCACACACACACATAAACCAAATCCAATCCAATATAGATCCATTTGTTGGGAGAAATCGATGTTTTTCAGTCCCTCGTCCAAAAAAGGATACATCTTAAACCAACTGTCTTAAACTGTTATAAGCATGCTACATATAATACCTTTCATGCATGTTCTAATTAGATACACGTTATTTGTTTTCCTCTTAAAGTGGTTATCTTTGTTCGTGATGGATCTTTAAATGGTCTTTACATGTTACTAACTACTTACAATGAACGATCCATAAAAGATTACAATCGAATAATTCTATTCCAACCTATGAAAACAAAACAAAAACAGATAAAATTACGTAGAGAATACTATTACTAAATATTCAGTGGAGATTAATAAGTTCAGGACATATTCAATAATTAATAGTGTTTATGATGTACATCTCTTCGTTTGACTTTGATGTGTTTTGATTCAAATGAATATTCATGCAGCAGGTGAATATTTTGAAGCAAAAATTGTCAAACTCAAATTAGTGATGTCTAAATGGCTAAAATATATAAAAGTGGCTAATGATTAAATGGTTGATTAATAAAAAGAGGTCCACCATTTTTAGCAATCGATTTCTTCTTACATCTTTTGTTTGCCATGAATGACATTATGATGCAAGTCTATTTATGCGGCGAACTGAAATTGTTAAGATTTAATATATATCGTCATAAAACGTTTAATATATGGATAATCGAAATGATTTTCATAATTTATTCTTTTTGGGGGTTTAAAATCTCCACTCAACAAAAGTTCAGCAAACTCCAATCCGCGCCAACAAAATTATTGGTAACTAAGGCATACTTTCATACAATAAAAACATAACTTAAAAGTACAGATATAAACAAAACGAGTATATATTTTCTTTACTTGAAAGTTACATTTTTAAATAATCAAAATCTAGTGTCGGCTCAAACATATGTACGTAATAACTAAAAAAGACATATTATACCATCCGGAAAAACGGTTGTCTCCCAGTGGAATTAATGCATATATTGTACCTACATTCCTAGTATTATTTTCCCGTATCCTTCATACATTTTCATTGGATAATTATTATTTAGAAAAGGCTTTATATTTGAGAATAATATAGTATGAATAGTACACGCATGATCATTTAAGTAATTCAAGTTGGCTAAAAGAAAAATACATTTATTTATTTTAGCAAAAAGACATTTATTAATATTTTATATCATATCATATACTATATGATCCGTTATGAAATCTGCATTCTTGACACAAGCAGAACAATGATCGAGATCATTAATCAACACAACTCAAAATCTCTGCCCCTTTGGTCCGAGCCCGATCTAGCGTTTGATATCGAATCTTCAAGCTCTCTTAGAAAACTGTTGTCGTCTTCGTTGTTGGATTTTATCTCAGAGATAAGTTGTCTGAGATCAGAAGTTTCCTCTTTAAGCTTAGCGTTCTCCTTCAAAGCAAGCTCATGGCTTTCAGATACGCTGTTTAGCTTATCAATAAGACAGTGGTTATCAGTTCGAAGTCTTATCACTTGAGACCAAAGCTCGTCGAGATGTCTCTGCTTTCTCATTCTTGACCTACGAGCAGATTCTCTGTTAGAGATCATCCTTCTTTGTTTTCTCTCATCGATGACCATGTTTTGTTGGTGATCTTCGTCTGATGCTGAGTTGTTGGTCGTCGTTAGATCCTGACCGTTGGATGATGAAGAGTAGTAGTTGTTGTTGTTTAGACCGTTGATGTAGTAGGAGGAAGAAGTAGGAGAAGAGTGCATGTTGAAGTATTCAGACTCCATGATTGGTGTTTGGTTATTATATTTTTCTGGCGATACATATTGGAAGTATTCGGTGAGCTCCGCCGGAATTGTGTTCATGATCTATGCTTTGATTTTTTCTGATATATCTATTTATGTTTTGCTAGTGAAAATGATATAAAAAAAAATGTTTTCAGAGAGAGAGAGAGTGGTTTTGAAGCAAAGAGGAAGAGTGGAGGAAGGGTTTTATAGAGGTGGGAGGAAAAGGAATGAGTTGTGTAGAAAATGGGTTGTATGTGTATTATTAGTTTATAACCCAAATAAAAATTATATTTAGAAAGATTTGTTCTTTAAAAAGAATGTTGTAAATACGATGATCTGTAGTGCTCAATTTCGCTAAAAGATTTCTAATTAGTTAATGGTAGTAGGAAACAATCAATTTGACAAATATATTGCTTTTGGAGGTTTTTTCTTTAGAAGCATAAAACTATTTGTGCTTAGGTTAGTGAACTAACTTTTTGGGTGGCTTGATGTTTTTTATTTGTTGCAAGTTAAAATTTAACCCATACCATATATATGTTCCTTTAAAATTAACAGAAGAGGTATTTTGTAATTTTGATTTTTTTGTCTCAAATTAAAAAAAAAAACTTGTATGGCTTTATATCATATCATATGTATATCTTTGTTTGCAAAATAAGCTATTATTATTGCTATTAGTCTTATTTTAATACTAATTAACATTTTAAATACTAATGTACACATTCAGATCTAATTTAGTTTAATATATAATTAAATGGTAGTGTCATTGTGAAATTATCTTATATATTTCATATCCGTGAATTAGATAAATACTGTGCAAACTGTTGTAATCATTGTCTATTTTTCATTTTCATTCTGTTTTGTACCAGTAACATAGCCTATATAGTTACAGTTTTATATATGTGGTCGTCACATTTATCGTACTAGACAAAATACTATAGCATATTGCTGTAACTGTTCTATAGCTCTCGTGTACTTATTTTACTACACCGAGTACTCTCGTAATCCCATATCGAAACAGATATACAGTATCGAATAATCAAATCGAGTCTTTATATTTTGTGTGACAACAAGCAGTTTTAGTTATTTCTTATGAAAAAGTTAATTAATCTAAAGTTCTCCAAAATGTATTTTTTTTATGTGTTAAGTCTCTTACAAATTTCCACAAAAGGTCTCCGACATGTATTATTGAGCTTTCGTTGGTAAGATTCATTTGTAACAAGATTGGTGATCAGTCATCAACAGTAACACCCGTTCTTGTTTCAGAAACGGAAGATACTTCTTTTTTTTTTTTGAACAAGAAACGGAAGATACTAGGTTACCATTTTTAGCCGTGTGGACTAGACAGCCTGGACTAGATAGCATGTTGGTTCCAGTGGCTTGATTTTAGAATGTACACATAAACCCAACCAACAAATCATGTACTTTCACTCTTCGTGGCCTGGCAGAATGAAGGAGAAAGAGGGTAAATAAGTCACATTACCCAATAAAGATTGGGTATTAGAGACTCGCAAAACCCTCATTTATAAAAGAAAAGAGAAATATGAAGAAAATGCAAGGAACAGGTCCAAACATTTTGTAGTGCCGCGTGGCTGGCGCACCAATTGACCGAGACACAACTTAAACATTTACTTAACATGCTTACTTGATAGTCTATATCACCATTGAGTTCATTTAAAAGAAAAGAATGTGTAATACTTTCCATGGACTTGAGAAGACTCCACGAAACTTTAATTCGACCCTAAAGAAAACAACGCTTTAATGTTCGGTGAATAGAGCCATCGGTGCATTGTTGGTTATACGCTATTTACCATTTAATTTCGGGTATTCGTATTATTTGCTTTGGTTGTTTGTCGTTGTCATTAGGATATGAAAAGTATGTATAGTGTTTGAATAAATTAGTATTAATCGTGATTTTTACTATATCCATAGTTATTATTCATAACTGCTTATTTGAAGAATACTATAAATCAACTTTGTGTTCAGTTTATGTTCATTTGATTGGTTAATCTGGACTAAACTGGATATCTTGCTCACAAATAATTGATCACACAGTTTCGTTAATGAATTTCTTTTTGCTTGATTGGGCTAATGATAAATTATTTTTAGTAATCACCTGCAATACTCACCACAAGAGACTATTTGAATAATCATACGAAAAGACATACTTAATCCGATAACTGTTGATTTACAAATCTGCATGAGAATCTACTTATCTCATATCTGATACCTGCAATAATTTTTATATAGGAGTTTATCATACATATGGAAAACTGAAACTGTATTTGATAAAGCAATCCCCGCAAAAGTTTCCTTTCTCATTGACCATATATATTCATCTAGAGATTTGTTCTTAAACATAATCAAGTAAAAAAAAGAAATCGAGTTTGACAGTGTGAGGTACAGAGTTTTCATGTGAAAGGACATCACAAGGAGGGACTGTGTTGAGCACGCGTCACCGGATAATTTCTAATTTTATATGACAGAAAGAAAATAAAATTTCATGTTTCTATTTTTTTGGTAACTTTCAAAGTTTCAATACATACCCATTTAGAGAGACATTAAGAAGAGCCTATGTCCCTACAGTTCAATTTGATTTAAAGTGTATACCATTTTGCAATAACATTATGACGACTGTCTCCACTTTCCCCCACTGCATTACGGACTCGCATTTACATATATTAGATTGGACTAAAGAGGATAAGCTTGTTTTTATATTTCCCTCTTCATGCTAAAAATTTGTGTTTTGTGCCCAAGGCTGTCTGTCCAATCTTCGTTGTATGCCTCAAATATTCCTCTAGAAGATGGCACTGACCCTAAAACGCAATCTCTATAGATTTCTATGTTTTTCTCTGTTTAGAAGAAACAAGATATCAATTTTAATTATTTAGATCCGCTTATACCACGTAGAATATAGCATAGTTTTGTCTTTATTTTTTCTGTAGTCATTGTTTCAGGAGTACTCAGATTTTTAGAAATAATTTGTATTGATTTTTAGTTTACATAAATACTACCAAGATTAAAAGTGTGTTTATAGCAAAAAACGATATGAACCAGTTTAGATGGACTTAAAAAAAAAACAGTTTAGCTGGTCTTACAAGCAGACATCTATTATATAAGGTCAAACAAAACAAATGAATACTTTGAAAATAATTCAACTGATGCTCATTTTTATGTATAGAAAAATTTAATTTGGAAAGAAATTAAACAGCAATCATATACATAAGTGAACAATCATTTATATTAGTAATACATAAACATATCACACATAAACTTAATCTTTTATCACTTGCAGACATATTACATCCAATATAATTTTAGGTTTTATTGTTGCTCCAAGTCCAAATTTGATATATATATATAATTTTTAAACTAATATTACATATGTTTACTTATCTTATGCACAGACTACATCTGCGCATGCATGATGTGGTTTTAAGACATACATATTTTCATATCCAGCAGAAAGCAAAATTCTGGTTATATATTTATTATTATTATATATATGCAATTTTAACACTAATATTACATCTGTTTAGTTATCTTTTTTTTTGGTTCAGTTCTGTTTATCTTGTCTATAGATTACACCTAATACATAATGGTTGTAACTTGTAACACATACGTACTTTCATATTCAACAAAAAACTCTGATTTTTATCAACCCCTTATTTATTCATTCATAAACTCATAGTCTGTTCTTTACACCGTTAAATTGTGACCAAAAACTGAAAGTCTTACAAGCTGAAGAAAAGTTTTACAAGCTGAAGAAAAAACCCGTGCATACGTACGGCACCTCATCTAGTTGATGATTAACTTATTGATTAACTAATTAAGCGTCTTCTGAATTGGGTTAAGCAACTAAGATATTCAAGGTAGCTAGTAATCCACTACTAAATATTTTAATTAAAATCTTTGGCTCTAACCTATCTAATTAAATACGTAAACGATTTTGCCAGTTCTTCGATGTGTGGTCTGTTGACACGCGTTGTATCCTACAAATTTAGTTGAATATTTAATATTTTTTGAATTTCAATTATTCCCGTCCATCGACTCATTTGAACAATTTATTTGAAGATAGCTTAATTAATTAATATAAGATAATAGGTCACGGTCAATTCAGGTAAGTGTTACCTAAACATAGTATTAAGATGCACTTTGTCTCATTTTGTAAGCAGAAGACGTGCCATAATACCGTATTGTGTCTCTATCCGTCCGTATTACTATAATAAAGAACTTAGGCTTTTGCTTTTCTTTTCAGATATATTTTTAAAAGAGTGTTAATGTGTTCTTTGCTTTAATCATAATCCCCATTCGATATTAAACAAAAAGCAAGGAAGACGACAAATTGATAACAAAGTTTTACTAGAAACATTGAGTTATATTTCAAGAACATTGATTTCTACCACTGAAAAAAAAATTATAAGAAGTCTCTTATATTCAAATACAAATCCTTTACGACCATGTATTAATTTTGAATTAAAAACTTAATAGGCTTATAATGACATTACATTTTGTATATGATTATTATTGTATCATAATTTGAGAGATAAATCAATATAGCTTTCCAACTATTATATATATAGAATTGTAGTTGAAATATTTTACATACTTTATATTATGTATAGAGAACAATATACTTTAATTTCTTTTAGTTAAGAAACTGATACGATGTCTATAAAAGAGTTTGCAAAAATTTACAGCCGAAGATATCTTCAATCTGATAGGTTTTTCTTATTGTTATTTGCTCGCATCTTATGACATAGTTTTGTACTTAACCGTTTTTAATTTGATCCCTAATTTGAGTCGCTGTTTAGCGAGAAGAGGCGGTGTAGAGTAATCGAACTTGACTTGAAGAGTCAGATTATCCAAATCATTCACCATAGAATCAAACCACAAACTTAATATATTGAATTAAAACAGCTTTCAGTTTTATAAAAAAGATTTAATATTATTATTTTGACGAAGGAGAGCCACAAATTATCTTTGAGGAGCCCCACGCACGAAGAAGCCAATTGGTACGCGACAAGAAAATGTTTAAATATGTTAAAAATAAGTGACATTGGAGGCAAAACAAATGCAGACATGGTTTCGTGTATATTTAATTAATAGAAATAAATCATTGGAACCTTTGAACCTAACTGCTGCGAACTGGCGTCAGCAGCAGATGTCAATTTCAAAACGTTGGAATTTCCATTTTGATTTGGACAATTTAATAATTATTTCTCATTAACAGTTTGGGAGAAGCGGATTAGATCCAAATTAAAACGCTTTACTCATCCCACTATATATAGGGTTTAATCATAGTTCCTACTATCTCTTTGTAAATAGGAGGTATAATGGACTTTCCTATATGTCATATGTAAACAAAAATGATAACAAATGGAAAAAAAATCAAGCGACAGAGGGCCACTAGACTATTTTCTGTGATAATTCTACTATTGTATATGTGCATCATCTAACTTCACAGCCTTCTTTTATACATATAGAGATCCCAGCTCCATATACCAATTGGTGGAATAATTGAATATATAATTTGCATGTACATATATAATATCTTAATTACTTTACAAAAAATATATTTAGCAGTTTTGATTTGTGACTTGATCGTGAGTTGTTATTTCTTGTTTAGCAGTTTTGATTCAGGAACATCTGCAACCTATTTCTATTATTTACTTTTATAATAGCATTAGAGACAAAAAAAAATTAATATTCTCTATTTCTCTTTAAAATAGAAAATGTTTTTCTCTTCTATTTATAAGAGAATAAATAATATTTTTACTCTATATTTTAAAGAAATATATTGTACTTATTCCTATCCTTTGTCATTATTTAATATTTTGCTGTATTCATATATACAATCTTTGCTTGAAGCAAATCTCATTTCTATTACAAAATTCTTCAATTTTAGAAGAAAAATAGTCAAATATACTGATAATGGTTTAAGTCGGGAACCACTTTATATGTCACAAGTGTCTGAAATTCAGTTAATAAATGTATAAAATCTTATAAGCTTAACCGTTAATTACATAACCAAGCTGGATTTGTTCGCAGATTGTGGTCTATGGCTTTTTGAATTTTTCAAGTCGCATTCGTGAGCAGAGGTAAGAATCTTGCAATGCCAAAGTATGATCTAACAATAAAAAATATATGTTTTATTGTATTATTCCCTTATGAGGCAAATCAACTTCCCCACGGTAAGAGCCTGAATCATATCTTAGATAATATTATGCTTAGGTCAAATCATGCCTCTCTATTTTTAGATCAAGACATACATATCCATTCATATTATATGTTTACACATACGTACGAACATATCTTGATTTCTCTTTATTTTGGATTCCCTCTATGAAACAAACAAACTTTATAATCTTCTTTTTCCAGCATAAATCAACTTTGGGCGGGAGGCTAAAAGAACTTTATATTGTTCTTTACACATGCAATCTAAACTTATATATATTCTTATTTAAACAATGTGTGGCTGATCTTAATTAGGTGGTTTTAAAATTCCTCTAGGCCGGTCAGAGTTCACATCCTCCACAAAGGAAAAATGAATGTATATACTTTTTAGAAATTGTATTTGTCGCTGGTCCAGTTAATCAATTTAGGCTTTGTTTTTTTTTTGTTTTATCAAGATTTTCTATTACGGAGCATGGGAAAGATGGCCCAAATACGCACAGACGAAAGGTAACCAAAATGAAACAAGCCCATACATGAATACTTTATCAATTTACGTACAGAATATCACACAAAACGAAGACAATGAACTTAATCACTCTTGATAGTCACCAGAAGCAAGCGACAACGCCGATCAGGCATTCAGGATGTTATGTGTTAGCCAGAAAACCACTCTTGGATGGTAACATTATGCAAGAATATTCCTAATACGTGAATTTATAGTTCTTCTTACTTATTTAATTTCTATTCTTTTCAAATCCTAGATGCTTATTAGGAATATTTATACATAATCTTTTGAATTTTTTTTTATTTAAAAACATGTTTTTAAACCTGATACTCTTCATACAAAATGGGTCATCACTGATGTTAAGAGCCATTTGCTTTTGGAAAAAAAGAAGATAATCTAAATCCTACTCAGGGAACTTAAATCCGTCAAGTTTAGATCCTGCTGGTTTATCCATAAACCAGATCAGATTCCCACTGCTTGGTTGGACCAGCCTAGCAGGCAGGGAAAGAGACCTTTCTAGTGAGGGCAAATCATCTATCGCTAAGTGAACAGCATTGGCTTTGGATTCGCCCGTTGCAACTACAACAACTCTAGCAGCTGAGTTAATGACTGGCAAAGTGAATGTGATTCTCTCTGGTGGCGGTTTAGGTGAGTCGGTTAGGTACGTAACCCAATCGTCTTTCACCTCAAGTGCTGGGTGGTTCGGGAAGAGCGAGGCTACATGTCCATCAGAGCCCATCCCAAGCAAGATAAGATCAAACTTGGGACAGTCATTAATCTCAGACGCAGTCACGGTTCGTGTTTTCACCATCTGTCTTATGGCGAACTCATACTTTGTTGCAGCTTCCTCCCCCGAGACCGTATCGTTAATAGAACATATATGTCTCGGAAACACATTAACCTGAAAAAAAGAATAGTTGCAATTTTCTAAAGAAAGTCAACGTTTATAACAAGCCAAAAATAGCACACAAAGATGTGAGTTGACCAAAGATATTGGATTAGTTTCTTCAACCTAAATTTTTGTTTCTTCTCACACAAGCAATGATTGAGGCAATAAAGTTAACATTCAAGATAAATAGATAGTGTCAAGATGATGTAACCTTAGAGAGGAGATTATCCTTGGCGAGCTTGTAGTTGCTATCGTCATGGTTCTTACTTACCACGCGCTCTTCCGCCCAAAAAACATACCATTTAGCCCAATCTACAATCTTGTTGTAAGGTGTCTCAACCAATTTTCTGTTGGATAATCCATTAGGAAATTGAAAATGGGATTTTGACAGATTTAAAAACGTTTTGGTAAAGACTTTTTAGTTACCCCAACAAGTTAATGAGAGAGCCTCCTGATAATACAATGCAGAAAGCACCATGTTCTTTAATTGAGGCTTCTGACATCTCAGCTATATAATCTACCAAGTCTATGCTTAGTTCCTCCAAATCCTCGTGAACTCTAATTTCACCTCTGTCTTTATGAGTCCAAGTAAGTGCCATATTGCTTCTTTTGTTTCTTTTTCACAGCAATTCTACATGGAAATAACAAATGGGATTCAAGAATCTACAGCTTGAACACAAGAAAGATCAGATTTGGATAGGGGGAAGTAGAAAAATTCACATTTTCAACTAAAATAAACTGAGATAAGATCTTGGCTGACTCTCACCAAGTTAAATTGACTACCACCAATCCAATAACCAGCATTTGAAATTTACAGAAAACATCAATACAAAAAAAACAAATATAAATAAATAAATAAAACAGGATCATAGAATTAAAACCAAACCAACCAACAAGAATTCGACCGCAGAGATAACATCAACATGAAACTTATCAATCAAGAACCAAAAGAAATTAGAATAAAACCTAACATGTGAAAAGGGAGGATAAGATTGTTACAGAGGAGTAAGGGAGAAGGTAGAGAGATGATTTGAGTAAATAAGGTAAATGATCGATGGATTGTACAAAGAACCCAATGATTTATATAATTGCATATCCAACACATAGGCCACATCTATACACATTATTAATATATATATAAATATATAGGTATATGAATTATAAGTAGGTTGTGTAAAACAAAGAACATCCTAATCTGCCTTAATAATAATTAACAAATGGCCTCTTCGGAGGCAAGAAGAATCAGCAGAAAAAAAATTTACCTTCTGTGTTTCCACGTGCATATCGTTGGTAAAATTTTGAGATAGAATCAAGTAATGATAGGGGTATAAACAGAGAAATGGCTTTTCTTGTGGGGGTGTTTCATCGAATAAAATAGTTCGAATTATACACGTGAGTAAAATAAATAAATAAATTGTATGAAATCCAAAACGAGTAACCAAACAACAGTCAGTTCATAAAAGACAAATGGACCAATCACTTCTACTGTCATGTCAGTTTGCAAGTAATGGGGATAACTTCGTTTTTATTACCTATTTAATATTTTTAAAGATATATAAATATATATGAATAAATAAGGCTTACTGAATAATATCCAGCTATTAATAAATAATTACTGCAATAACATTCAGTATCTTTTTAAACGAATATCCAGATACCAGTTTTAATTATTTTGTAGAAGTAGACTTACAAAAGTATTTAAAATTAATTATGTAAAAGTACATGTAGAATTGGTCATCTGAAATTTTAGACCGGACCTAATAAAATAAATAACAGTTTAATAAACATATAAGTTCATATATCTTCCAAACAAAAAGAATTAAAGAAAACGAAAATGCTGAACTTATTTAGGCTATTATTATCACAAAAATACTTTACTTTTAGTAACGTGTTTTGATTTTTAAAAAAAATACTGGGCCACTATAAACATAAAAAGTGTACAGAATTTTATTACATTTTGAATGATCCCGCATCTATATTACTATCTTAGTTTTCTCGCTTATTTACATTAGAATACCACTCAAATATTTATTAAACATATATTTAAATATTTTTGTATTTTACAAATTTAAATAATAGATTTAAGTATATTATATATTTTCCTAATTTAAATAATTTATGTTCTTAATCGAATCTTAACCAAAATAGATTTTTAAATATATGTTTTAATATGTTTCTATTTAACACATCCTAATAAATTTATGTACTATATATATAAAATATAAAATAATCTGTTCATTAATTATTGGTGTATTGTTTTCATATAAATATGAGTTAGTTATAAATATTGGGATTTGTTTATATAATACACTATGATATAATAGATGGTTAAAATCACAAAATATAATTATTTAAAATAATAAATAAAGTTTCTTATGTTTAAAATCTTAAATTAACAATTATGTAGTACAGTTAAATTTACAAAATATATATTATAACATTTAGTACAATTTTTTGTTAGAATGAAAATAAATATTCTGATGGTCACGGGTCAAGTTCGAGTAATAAACAATAAAACCGCAAAATTATTTTTCTTTAATTATTTTCTTTTAATAGAAATTATAATTCTAAATATATTTCTGTATTTTGTGAATTTATAAATTTATTTTATTTGTTTTTAAGGGGTGCTATTTTTTAGAATTTGAATGAATTATGACCCATCCCTATATTGTTTTAATTATGTAACTGAAATTTATGTCTTAATATTTTATTAGAAATTTAAATTTAAGTTTTGTTATAAGTCCAAAATTTAGTTTTCCATCTGAATTTTGTTCAAATATTACAAACATATTATTTATTACAAAAAAAAAATAGAAAATAAATATCTATGTGGTCGTACGAATCAAAATCTAACCATTAAAAATAACAACTAAATTAAAATTTCTTACATGCAAGAATTTTTCGGGATAGAAACGTTCTTCTCTCTTCCTTTTTGTTTTTGTTTCTTAACTTTTTTCCTCTCTTTAGTTTCTTTGATATATCTAAAAATGTTTGGTTTTATTTTTGGAGTGGAGAAATCATCCGTCGGAGTCACGGACAATTCTCATAAGCCGGACTTGCCACTATATAGAACTCGTGAACACGGACAAAAAGGATGATCCATTATAGAAGCCAATGAATCATGATGCCTTTTGGTTTATCTAAGTGTAATTTAATTCATCTTATCTGCTGATTGATTCTTCTCAATCAATACAAAATAAGTAATGTTTTATGTCTTAATAGGTGTTACCAACCGCATATTAGTCTTTTAATATGTATATAGTGTTTGGCAGGAGCATACGCTACAAAATGATAGTATATCGCAATCCCCACAACACTTAACCTATATGCCCCACTTTTCACGAATCTTAGGTATTTGAATAATAAACACCTTATACGTTAGTTGTAATTTTGATAAGGTGTAATAGTATCCTTTCGGCTCAACATTGGCTTTTACATCATTTTAGGACTTCAATCACGAAGGACCCAAGGTCACGCACAATAAGTTAGGTCACTATGTCTCCCTTGTAATTTACTATTCCATCTTTTATTTGGCAAACAAACAAACATAAAAGCACATGTTGACAGTTTAATATTCAGGTATATTGAAAAGATTTAATTTTTTACCACCAATTTTTTTTGTTTCATACATTTTTCAAACTGGAATAACCACTTCAAAGTTCCTCCCAAATTTGAATTCAGGGTCTGATTTCTCAATCTTTTGAATGAGTCACTGAAACCAGTACTAGATCAAGAGTTACTTTGTTAAAAACATATTTTAAGGATAATAACTAATAACAGTTAATTTAGATCAATTATACTTCTTAAACTACATTATCTTTAATTTTCAACCAACTTTTTCATCATGCCTTTTCGTCAGTTCTTAAATTGATAATGTTTTGCCATGAATGCAACATTAAAAAATATTTACCCGTATTTATCAAAGCAAAACCTTGTACTATATAATAATGAATCTTTTAACGAAACATTAAATGGATAGCCGTGATCGTACATAAAACTATACTATTTACTAACATTAACAAGGCCTGATATAGCTTTACAGCAACATTTATCAAGTACACACAAATATTTAATTTACATAAAGTTTTTGTTAAAGTTAGATATTAATCCCGGCAGATTGTAAACTTGATGAGAAACAATTTATGTTTCACATTTCTCTACTGTCGACACTCGAGTCCCGTGATTTTAATTTCAGTTCGTTTACAAAAATTTATATCAGTTGAATTACATCCATTTGGTTTGCCTTTTTAATAATCTTGACTTAGAGATAACCATCTGTACTGAAAATACTATAATAACAATGCATTTGAAATATGAACTTTAAATTTAACAACACTGTATTGTTGATAAAAAAAAAAACAACACTGTATTTATATATCTGACATGCTTTATAATCTATAGGGCAGCTCGTGACGCATACATGCCGATGTAAGTGTTGAACTTCAGGAGGTTCTTGCATGAGACACCCTAGCCATTGAAGAAGATCAGTGTGAAGAAGTCTCTTCTTCTCTGACTTTCCATACACATGCCGCATTCGTTTCCTTTCCTTCTTTTAAAAGATACCAAAACTTATATATATATATATATATATATATATATATATGTTTTAGTATACTATATATATATACATATATATGTATGCTGGGAGCAAATGTGAAGGAGCCACTTACTACTGAGTCTGATAGAGACTAGTACCAGCACAATTTTATCTTTGCTAAAAATAAATATTTGATGTCACCATCCTATATGATGGATGAATGCAAGACAGACAAAAGAATAGCAAAAGTCATGGCTTTGATATTAGTTCGCATCTCATGCATAATTGCATATATATCTCGTCCCGTTTGGCACCGTTTTCACTCAAGTGTCAAGTCTATATAGCAACATATTTGATACTGCTGTATTAAATCGATGGATTTGAAGTGTTTAACGAGTGAAAACCAACTAAAGTACTAAAAAAAACAACTACTAAAGATGATTTATTACGTTTTATTATACTATCTAAAGTGTAAACCAGACTGAAATTTTAAAGGAAACATGAAAAATAAAGTACAATGATTATAACAAATGGTTAGAAAATTGTTTGCACATGGACACAACACCGCGTTGCTTCCATGACATGTAAAGAGACTAGGAACACATGACTCCTTTCTTACATTACTTTCCAAATTGAATTGAGAAGAGAAAAATATACTGTAATGCCTTCCTTGCAGATAATAAGTAATATATGATTCACAGGGTTCAATTATTGCTTTCATCATAATATAATGTCAACATGATATCATGTAAAAGAAAATCATGAAATATATTGACAAAAATAAGTTTGAAGTATGTAGTAGTCTTTTCTATAGTTATGTTTAAATTATTTTGACTAAATAAATGTAACTGCAGAAATTTTACTATAGAATTTAGTTTTCAGTATTTTTTGTAGTAGAAAAATTAAATGATGAAAAGAAAATATTTATATAGTAATCCTATATCAATATTTTTTTTCTTTAGAAAATAAAACTTCTTTAGCTTTTATTTTATTTTAACTTTAAAAACTACTCAAAACATGATTAGTCATTTATATGGTTGTAGATATAAAATAAAGATAAAACCATTAATTTACCCCCCCCCCCCTAATCAATCACCTCCAATCACCTCAAATCTTAATATTTATCTATTATGTACTTACAACATACAGTAAGAGCTTGCATTATTTTCAGGACCAATCAAAAACTAGTAACATCGAATATCATGATCACGAATACAAAGAAAACCAAATTTAGTGATTTCCAAAATTTAAGTTCAAAATTTAATGATTACTAAAGTTTGAACCGCACTTAATTTTTATTGTTTACCTTAGAAATTGCTATTTGTTTTAAGTGATAAGTGTTATATATTTTACAAGTTTTATATCTAATCTCTTAGATATTATTTATGAAGTGATTTGCCAGATGTCTCATGTACAATCATTTTTCACTAAAAAATGTGATATAAAATCACATTATATATAAAATATATTTTAAAAATGTTACCTTTAATATATATGTTATTTGGA